CTTCTATGGTATTCCTTATTCACTGTCCAACTTTCAAATGCTTAGGAGGTTACTGAAAATACCGTGGCTTGCATCAGGTGTACCTTAGTCCTCAAACTGATATCTTTGCTCTTCAACACTTTAAAAAGGTCTTGTGTAGTAGATTTGCCATATGCAATATGTCATTTGATTTCTTGACTGCTGCTTCCATGAGTGTTGATTGATCCGAGCAAAGTGAAGTCTTTGACAACTTCAGTCTTTTCTCCACTGATAAGAATGTTGTTTATTTTGTACAGTAGTGAGGATTTTTGTTTTCTTTGCATTGAGATGCAATCCATACTGAAGACTGGTCTTTGATCTTCATCAGTAAGTACTTTAATGAAGGTATAGAATCAGAAATTAAACAATATATATAAGGATTACAGATGATAATTGTCTTTTGAGTTGTGTACTTAAAAATCTATAGATAATATACCCAGAAGACTTGAAACCAGACACTCAAACAGATACTTGCAATACTATTTACAATTGCCTAAGGGTGGAAACAACCTAAATGCCCATCAGTGGATGAATGGATAAACAAAATGTGGTACACACATACCACAGCCTATAGGAGAAATGAAGTCTTGATGCTGCTATACTACAGATGGAACTTTAAAGTTAAAAAGTCAATCACAAAAGATAAATACTGTATGATCTTACCTAAATCAAAAGTTGAGACCATGCAAATTTATAAAGACCGAAGTTTCTTAGTGATTGCCAGGAATGGAAGGGAGGGGTAAAGAGGTTATTGCTTATAGAACACTGTGTTTTAATTTAGAGTGATGGAAAACTCACACTTATTAAGGGTAAAGTGGTATAGCTGGTAATGTAATTGTCAATACATTGTATACTTCTAAAAGATGTGGCTCTGAAGGATCAGCACTGGACTGCTAACTACAAGATTGGCAGTTCAAACATACCAGCCACTCCTCAGAAACCCTATATAGAGTGTGTCGGAACCGACTCAGTACACTTAACAACAAAAACAAAAGATGAATTGACGAAAATTGTGTGGTAGATGTACAGCCTTATGAGATTTGATTCCTTGGTTTGGAGGTTTGGGGTCATAGTTTCATGGAACATTACAGTTGTCTTAATGATGTGTTTAGTGCTTCTGTTTTACCTTCTAGTTCTTTGTGTAGTACCTGGGGTCTTAAAAGCTTGCAAGCAAACATTGGAGCAACGGAAAAAAAAGAAGAGTCAGGAACCAGAGGCAGAAATGGAATGTGTGGCTGATTTCTTCCATGATCAACTACTTTCTCTTCCATAAGAATAGAAGAACTAGTTGCCCAGCTACCATTAATGAACATTTTTAACAAAGATTCTGTAGAAGAATCCTGATCACAAGGGAGAAAATGAAAAACAGAATTTCAAATTCTCATGGACTCCAGATTTTCTGGAGTTATGGAAGCAGAATGAACGCTTGAAACTTTTACCCTGAGATCATCTTTATACCTTAAATGAAATATATTCTCTGGAATGTTCTTAAAACTAAGGAAGTTAGCTAAACTATTAAAAAATGCTTACCTTGAGTGTTGTGTGCTTTTAAGGTATACTATACTGCAAAGTTGTTTTGAACCGCAAGGTTGGTGGCTCAAGCTCACCAACCACTCCTCAGAATCCTATTCAGGGTTGCTGTAGGTCAGAACCAACTTGACATCACATAACAACTTAAGAGATCAAATTATCAAGCAATTTGAAAGATTAGGAATCTTAGGGGACAGTGAATGTGGGAAGGACAACTTGGATTAGGGAAGGGTGAGAATGATTGTATAACTTAATATAATCAACTATCACTGCATTATAAATGTAGAAATTGTTGAATTAGTGTTTGTTCTTTATGTTTTAAGCAACAAAAACAAATTATATTACAAGGTAATTATTAAGGATTAAGGGGGGAAAAGAAACTACAGATAAATTGTTAGAATTAATAAGAATAAAAAGGTACTGGGTAGGAAGTCACTATTTCATTCCTAAAATCAGCTACAAAAAGGAAATGTAATTTTTTAAAAGATAATTTACAACATCAACATATAATAGCAATAATATGTATAATATATCTAGATACAAGTGTAACAAAACTTATACAAGTTCTTTGTGAAAAAATTCAGAGATAGTGAAATCTGAAAACACTATTTTTCATATCCTGTCTTTACTTTTAGCTCTGACCCTGAAGCCAAATCCCCTTTCTCTACCAGTCTAAAAACTAACTGACCTTGGTCAGATCTTTAACCCTCGTTTGCGAAATAAATAACAATATCTCTTATGGATGTGGTATTTATCTTACCTGTGGTTGGTGTTTGTCAAGCTCTTAACCCCTAACTAACTACTTAATAAATGATTTATGGTCTTACCCAGGAGAAAAATTTAAATTATGGTTCTTACACAGCTTAAGAACATGCGTGTGGGTGATCTAGTCTATATTCCTTTCAAAACATTGTTTTGTTTTGTTACTTTTATGATTAGTTTCTACCTAAAACTTCCCTCAATGAGGGGATACTTTATTCCGCAGTGATGCTATATAGGTCAGGGGGTCAAAACTACAGAGATGAAAGCTTAAACCAAGTGTAACATGTCAGTTCAGTCTGATTTTTAGGATATGTAATTTCCTGAATTACATGCCACTGCTTTAGTGGCTATTTCCTCATTTCTTGGCGAAGAATACATAGCAAGGAGTGGTATGTTTTTTGAAACTGATTTTTTCTATTTCTGTGTAGTGTTCTATTTGTATATAATATTTCTCTTAAGTAAATATGCTGTAGTGTTGTAAAGTATCCTTGAGTCAGTTCCAACCCATAGCGACCCTGCATAGGGTTTCCGAGGAGCAGCTGATGTGCTTGAACTGCCAACCTTGTGGTTCACACTGACTTTGCAGTCCAGCACATTAATCCACCGCACCATACCAGGACTCCATGCAGTAGTATTAAACATTACTAGTATTATCTACAATGTTGTTGTTGTTGTTGTTAAGTGCCGTGGAGTCGGTTCCGACTCATAGCGACCCTGTACAGGGTTTCCGAGGCTGTAAATCTTTACGGGAGCAGAACACCTCATCTTTCTCCCGTGGAACAGCTGGTAGTTTCGAACTGCTGGCCTTGCAGTTCACAGCCAGATTTGTAACCACTACACTACCAGAGCTCCTTATTATCTACAATGTTGTTGTTAAGTGCCATCAAGTCGGTTCCAACCCATAGCGACCCTGTACAGGGTTTCCGAGGTTGTAAATCTTTACAGGAGCAGAAAGCCTCATCTTCTGCGGAGTAGCTGGTAGTTTCGAACTGCTGAGCTTGCGGTTCATAGCCCGATTCGTAACCACTACGCTACCAGAGCTCCTTTATTATCTACAGTAAGACTTGTTTTATTTTGGTAAAATCTATGCTACAAAACAGTTGCCATTTCAGCATTCTTTCCATGTACAAGTTATTGAAATTAGTTATGTTTGTTGTGTCCTACAACCGTCACTATCCTTTCCCTAAATTATCCATCACCGTTAATAGTTCATTGTCCCCTCAGCAGGGAGCCCTCTTTTTATCCTCCCTTCTGCTTTTCCCTGGTAGAACAAAAAAACTTTGGTTACTATACATTTGTGTGGGATCATGTAGTATTTGTCCTTTTGATTACTTCATTCAGCATGTTTTCAAGGTTCATCCATGCTATAGCCTATATTAAACTTTCACTTCTTTTTATAGCTGAGAGGTACTCCTTTGCATATATATACAACGTTTTGTGTATCCATTCATTTTATGAAAGACATTTAGGTGGTTTCTACGTTTTTGCTGTTTTGACTAGTGCTGTAGTGAACATTGGTATACAAGTATCTGTTTGGGTTTCTGCTTTCAGTTCTTTTGGGTATACACATAGTTGTTGTTGTTATGTGCTGTGGAGTCGGTTCCGACTCATAGCGACCCTGTACAGGGTTTCCGAGGCTGTAGTCTTTATGAGATTAGAAAGCCTCATCTTTCTCCCGTGGAATTGCTGGTAGTTTGGAACTGCTGACCTTGCAGCTCGCAGCCCAATTCGTAGAATTGGTAATTTTATGTTTAACTTTTGAGGACCTGCAAAACCTTATTTTACATTTTCACCATCATTTCTCAACATCCTTGCCAACATTTGTTAGTTTCAGTTTTTTAATCATAACCATCTTAGTGATGGTGAAGTGATAGCTCATTTAGATTTTGACTAGTGTGTCTGTATTGACTAATTATGATGAACATAATTTCCTATACTTGTCAGTCATTTGCATATCTTCTTTGGAGAAAGTATGTTCAGGTCATTTGCCTATTTTCATATTGAGTTATCTTTTTTTGTTGGGTTTTAGAAGTTCTTGATATATTCTGAATATTGAATCCTTGCCCAATTTGTAGTTCCCAGTTTGTTTTTTTCTCTTGGTAGGCTGCCCTCTACTATGTTGATAAAGTCCTTTGGTGAACAAGTTTTTAATTTTGATGAAGTCCAGTTTATTTATGCTGTCATTGTGCTTTGGTGTCATATCTAAGAATCTTGTAAGAAAGTAAATCATGAAGTATTATCCCTGTGCTTTCCTCTAATAAGTGTTTTATGTTTCTTGTGCTTACATTTAAGTTGTAGATCTATTTTGAGTTAAGTTTTGTATGTGGTGTGAGTTTGGAGTCAGCTTCATTCTTTTGCATGTGGAAATCCAGTGTCTGAGTACCATTTATGAAACAGACTGTTCTTTCTCCATTGGAGGACTTAAGTAACACCCTTATCAAAATCAGTTGACTCTAAATATATAGGTTTTTCTGAACTCTTAGTTCTTTTCCATTGAGCTGTATGCCTTTCATTATGCCAATATCAGATTGTTTGGATACTGTACCTTTGTAGCAGATGTTGAAATCAGAGACTGATTAAAATAATTGTTCTCAAATGTAATCTGGAATGTTGTTAAAAGAGCTTTTTAAGTATGGATCTTCTGTTTGTTCTTCCTTTCCTCCCCCTCATAAAAATCTCTGTTTTTCTAGCTGCACGTTACGAAGAAGGAGAATCAGAAGCAGAGAGTATTACTTCCTTTATGGATGTTTCAAATCCTTTTTATCAACTTTATGACACAGTTAGGAGCTGTCGGAATAACCAGGGGCAGCTAATAGCTGAACCTTTTTTTCATTTGCCTTCAAAGAAAAAATACCCTGATTATTATCAGCAAATTAAAATGCCCATATCACTGCAACAGATCAGGTAAGATGTCTTCTGTACCACTCAGTATAGTAAATCTTAACGCATTCTGCACCTATATAATCCTTCTTAAGAAGGATTAGAACATTAAAGGTAAAAATACTTTTTGCATAGCAAAGTATATATGGATATTACTCATGTGAAAAATGAAAAATTTATTTGGTTAAATATAAATAATGCTGTTTATACTCCAGTAGAGTCCAGAGGCAAGTAAAAGGCAGTTTCAGCTAAGCATTTGTATTTCACATTAAGAATTTATAGCAGAACTCCCCAGAATAAGCATCTTGTTATTAAGTGCCGTCATGTCAGTTCTGACTTATAGTGACCCTGTATAGGGTTTCCGAGGAGTAGCTCGTGGGTTTGAACTGCCGACCTTGTGGTTTGCAGTCCAGTACTGATCATACAGCGTTACACCAGAAGTCCAGAATAAACATAGTCAGTTCTTAAAGAATTCTTTAGATAAAACCATACTTGGAAGATAGTTCATCTTGGGTTTCTTTTTCAGCTTAGAAAATGGTCGTGGTTATTGAAAGTAAAGCTAGAAAGAATACTTAAATCACTATGTGGTTGTTGTTGTGTGTCAATAATAATAGTAGGAAATAAGTAATATATAAACATGGTGATTATAATTCCTATAGTATACCCACATAGTCAAAAAGCAGGTTAAAATGGCCTACTTGGTCATGATCAGAGTAGGCTGGTATTTACATGACATAACTAACTTCCATATCGTAAGAATTAGTCCTTAGTCTTACTGGGTTCCCAGAAATAAGGTTGGCTAACAACTTGTGGACTCCTGGTGTGACACTGTAAGCTCAGCACTGGACTCTGAACCATAAGGTCGGCAGGTCAAACCCACCAACTGCTCCTCGGAAGCCCTATACAGGGTCACTGTGAATCGGAACCAACTTGATGGCACTTAACAGAAATATATGTTTCATAGTTTTACATTTATAGCTTCTGCTTTCATTATTTGATCAGTAAGATTTATTATGCTTTGATTTAATCCAGACTTTGGACATCTTATACACACTACCATATGGAATATCTGTTTACTTGGGCCACTTATAATAACATGTAAATTTAGAGGTTTCCTTTTAATTAAACAAATCTTTTGTCTCTGTTTCTTTTCTCCCTCTTTTTTTCTTCAGATAGTCTTATTAATTCTGCTCAAAAGAAGACAAATTGTTGAGCCAGTTCAGTCCTGTGCCTAAACCTTCTTCCAAGTTGGAATTTTCCAATATAAACCTTGCTTTGTTAAAAGTCAGTACTATAATTCTGTGCCTTTTTTGTTCCCTTTTTAAAAGTTATTATGTCAGTTGTGTGGTGCACAGAGAGTGTAGTGTAAGGACTAAGGACGTGGTTGAGGCCCAGCTGGTAGCACTTTACAGTTCTGAAAAGTCACCTTTAAGGAGATCTAATCTTACCTCCCTTCTCGGGCCACATGCTGAGCCTGAGTTCTAGTCCATGAATGGTGCTTGATAAGAGCTTACTGAGCCTTAACTACCTTTCCTTATGCTCTCCATTGTAGCAGCAGGGAAGTCTTGTGCAGTGTTGTGTATCTGCACTGCCCATTGTGTTAGCCATGAGTCACATTTGACTTGTACTTGAAATGTGGTTAATTTAAATATCCACTGCTCATTAATCGGTACAAGTTTAGGAAGATTTATTGACAGAAGAGAAATAGTTCTGTTTCCGTAAGAGCAACAAAAATGGAAGAATGGGAAAGAGCTATATAATGTAGCTCCACATGCCAGCTTCTGTGCTAGGACTTCTCATCCCCGTTTTATTTTCCCTGTCCTCCCCTTTCACTACTACATTGGTTTGCTTGTTTATTTGTTTTTAGTAACTTATTTTTGTTGTTGAAAATATATGTAGTAGGAAAATTTCTATATGTACAGTTCAGTTACATTACGTTCCTCGTTCCTCAAGTTTTGCCTCCATGCTCAACTTCCTTTTACTAATTGTTCTTCCCTGATTAACACAAACTCACTCGCCTCTAAGCTTTCTGTGTAACTTTTCAAGTTGGCTGTTGTTAATTTGATTCCATCAAGTAAGGCAGACCCCTGTACTATTTATTAACATTAATCTGGTAAATGTTTATAGATTTATTAGTATTGTAGGCTTTCATTTACAACTTTGGGTTCTCCATCCATGAGTATCTGTGTCATTTATAAACTTGGAAGCATCCAGCGTCTTACTCCATTGAGTCTGAGGCTGTGACTTAAACTCAGGGTTAGCTATGTGAGCTGACATTGATAGCTGGGTTTGTACTTTGTTGTTTTTGGTTCCTTCTGGAGATGTTCTCTAACATTCATATCCCTTTAAGTACTGTATGAAATATGCAAATGGTTTTGATTCATTTTAAGTAAAACGTCAACTACATGCTAAATAGGTTATATAATTCTAAGAGAAAAGTTTGGGATCTCTACATTCAGCCTGTGCGGTTTTGTAAGTATATTGTTGCTTTCTACTCTAATACTGTTTCTGTGATGTTAATGGTTAACTTGCAAGTGCTTCCATCAGCAGATTTAAAAATCTATTCTGTAGAATTCCTAGTAGAATTAGAGCAAGTAGTGACTCTTCACTTTGTACAAAATGCAAAGGGCATTATAAAAGTTGGTATTAGTAATAGTGATAGTTTCTGAAAGATGTATCTAAATTCTTAACACTTTCAAGTAAAATAAGTAAAAAGCCTCAATATTAAATCATCATAGTTATGTTTATTGAAGGAATAGTAGTGAATGGACTGGGCCCTGACATAGCTGCCTCTTTTTATCCATCTTTTTTGTTGTTGTTAATTTTTTATTGTGAATTGAGTGAAGGTTTACAGAGCAAATCATCAGTTTTATGTTCAACAAATCATACATTTTATTTCATTTCACTGATCGTAATCCCCTCATTGTAGCATCACTTATCCTATATTTTCCTTTTGTTTCTTGTTTTCATTCCTCTGACTTTCCCAATCCCCCTGAACTCTATATCCTTGGGTAACTTCTGCTCTTTTGATCTTCAATGATTGACCATTCTGTGGTGTGTGTATCTCACTAGTGTTTTAGTCCTCCCCTGTTGTTGTTGTTAAGTGCTGTCGAGTCAATTCCGACCCATAGCGACCCTCTAGAGGGTTTCCAAGGAGTGACTGGTGAGCTTGAACCACCAACTTTGCAGTTCAAACCAACTGTGCAGTCTAGCGCATTAACCCACAGCGCCACACCAGGACTCCGCTATATACCTAAAATTTGAGCCACGGAGGTGAGGTCAGTTCCAGACTTGAAGGGTGACCAATATATTATCCAGCTTGTGACCGCTTGTCATTGTCCATATGTATCTCACTCAGAGATAAATTATTATTCTAAATACTTCTTCCTGATATTGCCAGCACTTTCCCTTTTCACGAACTAGAATGGTCTCATTTTCATAAATGAGTCATTATCATGAGTCTTCACTATGGTAGCTTAAAATCTCCCTGATTTTTATATCTTCTTAGATTCAGATGTTGCCACTTTTTAGGGTTCATATGTTAGCCACTAGAACCCACATTAGGGGTTTTTTTTGTAGTGTTATTTGCTCTGTAACTAGCCACTTTACTAGATCTTCTGTTACTTAGTGTTTTAGGAATTCTTTTGATTTTTCAGGTAAACTCCCTTTTTGCCTATATATAATGCTGCTTTTGTCTCTTTACTTGTATCTTTAAAGTATCCCTTCTAGTCCCCTCATTAGTATCACTAGTAAAGGTACTAAGACGCTCTGGTGGCACAGTGATTATCCACTGGACTATTAACCAAAAGTTTGGCTGCTCTGCAGAAGGGAAGTGTAGCATCTGCTTCTGTAAAGAGTACAGCCTAAAAAACTCTGGGGGCAATTTTACTTTCTTATATAAGGTCAGTATGAGTTGGATTTGACTCAGCAACAACAGGTTTTTTTAGTGAAGATATCATCTAGTGCTTGCCAGGATTTTGCACTGGACTTTCAGAAAGGATGCTTCATACTGGCTAAGGAAAATCTAGCCATGTGTTTGTCTTTACAGAACCAAGCTAAAGAATCAAGAATATGAAACGTTAGATCATTTGGAGTGTGATCTGAATTTAATGTTTGAAAATGCCAAACGCTATAATGTTCCCAATTCAGCCATCTACAAGCGAGTTCTAAAGTTACAGCAAGTCATGCAGGTATGATTTCTTGGTTTTGCTAAATTCATTATATGTATAATTGAAGTAAGTGTAAGTTTGCACATTTTTACCTCATAGTAGAAAATGTAAAGATGCATGACTTTGCTGCAGCAATATGATGTCATTCATTTCAACCACAAATATCATGAATTTTTTTGGTGCTATCAGGACCATGTAGAGTAGAAATAATACAGTAAAAGCTACAGTCTGTATGAGACTGAAACCTGTCAGAGAGGAGAACTCAAATATTTTCCACTAGTAGAAAGGGGGTAAGGGTGCATGCACCTTGTCAGAGATTGAGAACTTCCAAAATCTTGGAAAACAAGGCAGTCCTGGCAAGTTTCACCTCTCACAGGTTCCAGTGGAGTTTAGATGCAGTTGGCTTTGTGCCACATCTGACAAGTAGTTATACTCTGTGACCTGCACGGAGAGATTAAACCCGAGTAGGGGCGATGGGAGATTAGAAAAAAAGAAAGACACAAGACATAAAATGAAAATAGTAAAGTTGGGAGCACGTGGGACACAGTATTCTGATGGAGATACTATGACACCAATCTAGGTTCAGCATGTTTATTATATACACAAATCAAAGGATAGTGCTGAGGGCAGGGAAAAGAGTGCAAAAAACATTTGGTGTATTGATGCAAGCAGTAAAGGGGACTCTTATCAGAAGAATATAGTTGCTAGGGAATCAGAGATAAGGCAGCTAGATGTTTTTGCAGACTAAACTGAAGGCTATGGCTGCGTACAAGGAAAGACTTTGCAAATTCCTTGTTCCCTGAGGCAGGCTTTGCAAGTTCCTCAGGTCGCAGCCTGACCTGGGAACAGCCTGATTTTCTGGACCACAACTGTTTAGTTGCAGTCCTTCAACTAAACTGCCCCCAAGTCTGAGACCTTTGGTTTAGTTATTCCCAACAGCTTTGTAGTGGATAAAGCAGAGATTTTCCCTTAGTGGATAATTTTAAAATACTTATTAAGAGTTTCTCTGGAGTCCTGGTTAATGTACTGGATGGCAAAGTCGATTTGAACCGCAAGGTTGGCAGTTCGGACTCACCAGCTGCTCCTTGGAAACACTAGACAGAGTTGCTATGAGTTGGGACTGACTTGACTGCACTGAACAACAGAGTGTCTAGTCATACATGATATTCCATCATTAGGTTTTACTCCTTTGGCTCTAGACCTTGTTTTCATTAAGGTAGAACTAGCCCACAGCTAAAAGACATTTTAAGTGTTATTAATCATTGTATAACGTGCATGAGTTATCAGATCTGTTTTGGAAGCATACCTTGTATGGCACCTTAGGTCATAGGTTATCTAAGGTTTTGAGACAAGTCATATATATGAAATGCAAATTGGTTTTATATGGCAGTTTTGGATAGAATCTTGCTGGAAAGTTAATCTCAGGGCAAGGTATCTGCAAAGGCAATTACAGATCACATGTAGAATCTTCATTTTGTATGGTCAACACTGATGATTAAACAGTGCTGTGGTGGATATCAAGTATTTCCTTTTCAGTACTCTGCATATTCCCTAAGCCTGCTTGGACTTTCAGCTTTGTTTGATAGGAGTCCTTTAAAAATGAATGTGTTAAAAAGTAGCTCTTTACCTCTCACTTTAAACTTTCTTCTTAACCACACTGCCCTTAAAAGTTAAGGATACCAAAGACCCTCTTTAAGTTGACTTTAATATGGCTACCAGAGCTGGATGTCTCTACAGCTTGCCTCAATGCTTTTAACACATCTGTGCCCTTTGTAGTCTTAAATGCTGTTTAGCTACCCTTGATTCTGCAACTCTAAATCCATTTTTAACCTACTTTTCTGCCATGCTGGCATTTGTTAAATCAGGTTATTGGAAGTGTTTAATGATTCTTTAATTTTGTGCATCCTGTTTTTGATCTTTTTAAGAAGCTCAGGTAGCATAGTGCGTATGTGTTGGGCTGCTACCCTTAAGGTCAGCAGTTCGAAACTACCAGCTGTTCCATGAGAGAAAGATGAAGTGTTCTGCTCTCATAAAGATATATAGCCTCGGAAATCCTATTCAGGGTCGTTATGACTCAGAACTGACTCCACAACAAACCACCACCACCATTTTTTATTTTATTTATCAGAGTAAAACTGACATGTGTAGCTCTTTAAAATGCATATATTCTAAGATTGTTCATCAGAGTGAGCTTGACTCTCAGAAATTGCTCTTTTTCAGGCAAAGAAGAAGGAACTTGCCAGGAGAGATGACATTGAGGATGGAGACAGCATGATCTCTTCAGCCACCTCTGATACCAGTAGTGCCAAAAGGAAAAGGTATATATATATACTCTTCTCATAATCAAAGACATCTTCCCACTTCCCGTTTATTTTGTTTTAAATGAATGAAGAAAAGGTTTTTTTAAGCTCTCAATTACAAATTCTATATGCTGTAAATACTTAATAGCATGTCTTTTAAAATTCATTTGTAAGTGCATGATCGGTTTTTTTGTAATGCAAGTGCCAGATTGCTTTGGATGACATAGATAAAAATGATAGCTACATGTGTAGCTTGGGAAAACATTAATAGGTCTAAGTTATTTTCTTAAATGTGGCATTTTAAAAGTACCATGTAATCTAATTTAGGTAATTTCTGTGGGGAGAATTGCAGAGATAGAATACGAATTAGAAAAGGTAAGGGGCATTCAGTTCTACCACTGCAGTGAAGTAAGTTGTTGCTCTTACCCTTTTGTTTTCCATGTTAATACAGTCTTTATTTGCTATCATAAGCTTGTCAGATTGTAAAATACCAAAAGATAAACTACTTATAGTTTATAAAATGTTGAGTTATGTCTTTGAATGCTTTTTCCCTTTCTAATCTTTCTCTTAACTTCCCTAATCCTTCCTTGCTTTAATGGGTTTGATGGGAGGGGTTCTCAACTGTGGGACTTCAAGACCGTCTCTTGTCTACACCTCGCCCATGGAGTTTATCTGGCATAACCGTTGTGGAACACTGTATTCTCACTCAAGCTTAACTGGCTTACCATCTTTGCAGCAGTAGCCAGGGAGGCTATCATAAATAAAGAGTAAGCTAACCACTAATATAAGGTTTGTTCAAAGTTGTATGAAGAAGTCATCAGCAACTGTTAACATAGTTCTGTAATGCATTATACAGAACTCATAAGCTCAGGGTTTAAAAAGTGGTTTAGAAAAGAGAAGGTGTCCTGGTTTTCCCTCTCACAAATAGTATTTGAGGAATTCTTTTTCAGTTAAAAAAATAACTTTACTGTACTATGCCACAGTAACTCAGTCAATTGGTGTACCTTGAGATGTCTCCTCCACTACTGGCCTATGAATTTCATCCTTCCAAGTTCTTAATTCCTTGTTACACCAGGAACAGCGGAGGAAAAATATGAAACCAGATCAGAGACATCAAATCAAGAATATCTTTGAGTGTCATTATATAAATCTACTACAGCATCACCTGTGCTTTCCAGATCAGACACCAATCAAAGATAAAAACTTCTCAGGCTAAAGAAGGTAATGGAGGCAAAAGTGATGGTACAGTTAGTGCCAACACTGAGTGAAAAGACAAATCTTAAGCCAGTTGAGTGATTAGAGGGGGTTCTAAGGAAGCATTAGTCTCAGCCAGGTCCCTAGAAATTGCATCTCTGTGGCATGTAGTTGTGGGACATCCCAAGTAGATTAAATGAAAGTTAGGGCCCTAAAACCTCTTATAAAAAAGAAAACAAAGCATTATGTGCTTGAAATTATAAAGTCCCACTTCAGATGAAAAGTCTCTTTATAATAAAAACAGATTTCCTAGGAAGTATTTTTTGTAATAAAGTGAAAAAAAAACAAGAGAAGAACAAACATAAATCATCTGCTAAAGCAATGAAAGAGTAAACCTGGGTTGGCTAAACAGGTGAAAGAAGCAAGTCCTACAGTTTGATCTTGACAAAAGAAAGACTATGACGAGCCTTTTAGAAGGCAGTTTTATGTTGAGAACTTGGGTAATCAGAAGTGGACTCTAGGATTCAGGCAAACACCGTGACCTTATAGGTTAAAATTAAGCTTTGCCTGAAAAGTCAGGGCTAAAGTTTGAAAGTATTACTGAATCGAATTCCTAAGTTTTGTGTATGATTCTATCTTCACTTTATGTTTTTAATACCAGAGAGTGTGAATGAAAAAAATTGGATGTGGGAGTGTTCTGCTTCATTCCCCACCTCCTGGCCATCTACTTAAAACCCCACTCACTGTCTTCTAGGTTGATATGTTCCAAGTATTCTTAATATCTTTTATTCTCTGGACTGAATAATCCTCTTTTTTTTTTTTTTTCAACCGTATTTGGTTTTACCTGCCCCTCCAGTGTTGCTTTGTTTTGTTTCTCTTCACATGTAATGTTTGTTTCTGCTTTCCCAGGAACACTCATGACAGTGAGATGTTGGGTCTCAGGAGGCTATCCAGGTGTGCAGCCCATTTTTTATGCCTAAACATGCTTTTAAAAGTGTAACTCTTCTGTGGCATGATCAATACTGATTAGGTGAAAAGTGAAGTCATATGCATGTGAAATAAAAGCTTATCTGGGTATCAGTTTATTTAATAAGTAAAGGAAGAAAGAAGTATAATTTAAAAATAGAGTTAGTAAAATAGATTCATACTTAGCCTAGATATGTTTAAAAATAGTTTAAATTAATCATTACCTCTGCCAGATGGTGAACTGCCCCTCATCAGTCACTGTGGCTAAGCTACATACAGCTAAAGATAGAGGCTAATGCTGTGGTGCCATTGCTAGTGTCCAGGAACTAGTGGATGCTGATTCCCTTTCAGGGATGTCTTTTGCAGACTGGTAGATGAAGCCGAATCTACATGACAATCCAAATGATGTTTCTGCATGTGGGCATCTGTACATTGGGTGGTGCTTCTAAAGCATGAGTACATGTCCTCAGTCTCTGATTGTGTCCATGTCCTTCTTTAAAAGCATCCATTCTTTTGCATGTTACTTATGACTTTAAAAACAGCTATGAGTTGCCTTGGCATGGTCCTGGTAGTAGTGCGTGTGCTGCTTTTGTTTTCGCATTTGCCATCTGTCATTCATGGAGTGTCAGTTACCTGTACGTCATTAGACCCTGCTCTTATAGGTCAGAAGGTGGAAATTCACTCATCTCCTCTACCTGCCCAGAACTTACTGTCCAGGGAAAGAGACATACTGAAAACAAATGAAATTTTTATGTGGGAGCACTATAGTGAATTAATTGCATTAGGTACTCAATTTATATGAAATGTTGCATGATTGCCCAAATAGCTTTTGGAAAGATTATTTCCCCACCATACTTTTCCATAGAAGTTCAATATTTTATAGATATCTAAGCACTCGACAATAAGATCAGTTTGAGTCACAAGGTCAGTGGTTCAAACTCATCAGCCGCTCCTAGGAAATCCTATATAGGATCAATATGAGTTGAAACCAGCCCAGCAGCACATAGCATCAACAACCTATTGCTACCATATGTAGTCCACTCTAGAAAATTACTGTGTTGTCATTGTCTTCCTAATATTTTCCTTAAGGAAAAAACTTTATTCCCCAGTTAGATGGTAAATTTAAGAAAATAGATCATGGCTTCTGTTTCTTTTGTGGCATTCATACTGTATGATTCTGGGTGTTAGGAAAAATAGAAATTGATTAATAAGTGTGTGAAGTACTTCATACAGTGCCTGGATGTAGTTAATATCCAATAAATGTATCTCTGATTAGTTTTTGAAAGTAGTGTCTATTGACATCGATGAAAGATTGGGGAGATTTCATTGTTTTTAGTCAGATGTAACTAGTCTGAGAAGTCTCAATTGAAGAAGATTAATTAAAAGGTTTTATTCTGTAGATGAAACCTTGCAAGACTTTGGACTCACTTAGCTTAACAATAAGCACACCGCTAAAGTTCTAGGGCCAGGGCATGATAAACACTAGGGGACCTTGAAGCCTAAGAGCATGGCTGATTATGATTAGAAAGACCGCTGGAAAGCACTAACTCATGGGAAAGGGAAGGACATATTAAAAACAGCAAGGTGAGTATCACCTGACTCAAGTCTCTATCTAAGCTTCGTATTTTACGTCTACAAAGTTAGGGTACTACTTTTACCTAGATCTCATAGCTTGAAGATTAAATGAGAGTGCATAGTGTTTAGCATAGTATCTGGCACGTGGTAGAAGTATTGTTATCACTCTAAATAGGAATTTTGTGTGTGTGCAAAAATGAGTTTATGTAATAAATAATAGCCTAAGAGGAATAATAATGATAAGGGCATTTGAGGAGACAGTCACAAGATGGAGTGTCATGACTAGCTGTGAAATTAGGAATTGAATGATCACATGTAAAAGGAAGAACCCATAGAACTTGGTAATGAGCTAGGGGGAACAAAGACTGTTGTTGATTGCAGTGTTTCAAGCAGGATTGGGGTTCAGGCGGATAGCATTGGTGGTAGTCTTAGGAAATCAGGAATATGTGAAGAGAGCTTTTACTAGCCCATAGTCTTAGTGTGCATTGGTGGAAGCATCATTCTTCACGACATTTGGCTTTTCACATAATGAGAAAGACAGATTTTTGTTGTTGTTGCTTTTTTTTGCGTAAGATACTTTATGGTCCATCTTCTAAAAGAATCTGTAATTGTATATTTATTGTAATGTTTTTGATAGGTACTGAATAAAACATGCCATTTAGAAGGTCTGGATTTAATTTTATACATTTTTCCCAAAATGAAGTTTAGTAAATAAACTGGTCACAGTTAATGGTCGGAAGGAAGAAGAGAAGTGGTATATGTAGGAAGGAGTTCTAAGAATCTCAAAAGCAAATTGACATTGAAAACAAAATCATCAGAAATTATCAAATAAGGAAATATGGTAGTGTCTTTTCATAGAGTTCAATTTCAAGAAATATTTGAAACTATTTCAGAAGGCTTCTTTGTTAAAAGAAGATAATGTCAGCTGCCCAGGCTACTGGGATTGTTATAAATGAGTATGAAGTTTAGCACTAAGTTTTTTTCTGGCAACTAGATTAAATTGTTGGGCTAATGGTACTCAGTCTTAAAGGCAGTATAAGAATCTGTAAAAATGTAAACAAAACAGCAAAAATGAATAAAGGTCATAAATGATCTTCACTAAAGAAATTTTGCTTTCCTTTGAGGATAAAAACCATGTTACAAATTACTAATTTAAGTGCTAGAATAGTAAATTACAAATGTTAGATTAGAGCAATTTCTTAAATATCTAGTTAGATTTCACATTTTGGGTATGTTCCATTCAAAGCTACCAAGTGTCATAGTTACTGAAGTTGGAACAATGGACTACTCAGCAGTGTTATTTTGTTGAGATTTCCTTAAAAATTCAGTTAAAAGCTTTCTCTCCTCTTTGAAAAGCTCAAGGAAACCTGCCCAGATTCACTTCCAGATACTGCTTCCTACACAAACACCTCATTGGGAGTGAGTGTGCTAGAACCCAGGTCAGGGTTTAGAACTTTTATACTGTTTAAATTCATAGAATGAGGAGTCATTTCATTATAGAAGAGAGCGTTTAAACTTAGAGGTTCAAAATTGAATTCCTGATGCTTGCTTTTGAAGCTAAATACTCATGGTGATAACTAAAGAAACGATGTCAGCCTTAAGCAGTTTCAATTTTAAATGCATGTTTCTGTGTTACCAAATCCAAGCTCTGAAATTTTCCATCAGAGACTCCCTTAAAGTTAAAATCACCTGTGTTCTAATATGCATAAATATAGGGCTCTGTGGAAATGAAGCTCTGTCCCTAGTTCACCAGTACTAGAGAATTATTTCTTGCATATCATTGTCCCAGCATGCCTCTTTGGAGAAGTAGTTTGCACTAGCTGAAACTTCCTTTAGACTGCCACCATCTAACAAACTCTCACTTGACAGGACTAATTCCAAGGCAGCTAAGGAAAGTAAGTGATCAAAGTGAAGATACAGGTGATGAGGAGGATCACAACCCTAGCAAACATGGAGAATCCACAAATAACTAAACTACTGCTGATGTGACACTATAGGATAAGCACTGGACTGTTAACTACAAGGTTGGGAGTTCAAATCCACTAACTGTTCCTCAGAAATGCTATCCAGGGTCGCTATGAGTTGGAACCAACTCAAAGGCACTTTACAACAACAATGTTGTTTGGTTTTAAGGGCAGTTTTTATTATTGTTGTTAAGTGCCGTTAAGTCGTTTCCCACTCATAGTGATCTTGTATAGAGTTTCCAAGGAGCGGCTGGTGAGTTTGAACTGTCGGCTTTGTGGTTCAAACCGACCTTGTGGTTTAGTGCTTATTCTATAGTGCTACATTTTAAGGGCACTAGTTTCAGGGGTTCATCTACCCTAAAACTGTTATACATTTCCTATCTCTTGATTAGAGCTCTTCTAAGGAGTCCTTGTGTGACACTGTGGGTTAATGTGCTAGACTGCAAAGCCATTTGAACTGCAAGGTCGGTGGTTCAAACTCACCAGCTACTCCTTGGAAACCCTTTTCAGGGTCGCAGTGGGTCGGGATCAACTCGACGTCACTTAACAACAATAAGGAATCTTTGATCAAAATGTTCAGTAATGGTAACAGGGTGCCATCCAGTTCTTCTGGACGTCTCATCAGCCACATCACTTGCATCAGAAATGAACTTCTTTCAGTTATAGGAAAGGAAACAGATTTAAACAAAATTATCTCTTAATTCTACATTATAGTATCTTAGGGTCTTGCAAATTTTTGCTGAATCAGAATTAAGTCATAAGCCATTTCTTTTTAGTACCTTATCTGACTGTTCACTTGAGGACTGCTATCTTCTGCATAGAATTCCTTATTGAGTTCTGAACACATAAAAGCAGTGGGCTAGATAGAAACCAGACCAGATTATCTCTCTTAATAATTCACTGGCAGGTAAGCTTGGCCAAGTTATTCACCCTCTCTGATCCAGTGTATTGAACTAGTAAGAGACCAGACTGACAGTTTGTTCTATTGGTCCTCCTGGCTTTGGTTCTAATCTATGGTCCCTTGTATTTTGTTTCATAATACTCACATCTGTTTCTTGGAATAATGGCTCACTGGAGGGACTTTGAGGAACAGGATGGATTCACACTCAAACTTGAAATTTTACTCAAGAGAGCTAAGATGAACCATTTATTTTTTAAACTAGGTTGACTTAGAAGGATAGTGGTATAAGGCTGATGAAGAGAAGAAAGCAGGGAGGGAGCCTTGTACCCACTGTAGAAACACTAGTCTGGCAGGCAGTTTCCCTATGTTTTCTGACAACCGTCTATATGCAGGTGTTCAAAAGAGGTAGTCTTAAGAGATGGGACACTTCCCTGTGTTAGGTTGTTGTAGAGTTTTGTTTTTGTTTGTTTTGTGGGGGGCATGAAATTAAGGGTTGTTCGAAAGGATAGGGAATTGCTAGTTTTGCTGCACTATTTTGTTCTATTCATCTAAAGAAAAACAAAGGATTTCAGTTGGTAATAGAATTTCATTTTCTTTGGGTATCAAACAAGATCTTGTAGGCATTTAATTTCATAAGCTGCTGTAAATAAATTTCTCTAATATTGATTGACTGCTTATGTCAGGGTCAGTAAGTTTTAAGCATTTGGAAATTTTCCTAATGTTTACTTATTGCTTCCAGCATGTTTTTTTGTGTGGTGTATGTAGTCAATGAATTGTAATCATTATGAATCACCTGGTCAAAAGATTAATTTGTTTCACTTCATGCTCATCCCTTTATAAAAAAAACTGAGCATGAACTTATGTGTCCCCTTCTGCCTCCTCCCTCAACAGTAAAAAGAACATAAGAAAGCAGCGAATGAAAATCTTATTCAACGTTGTTCTTGAGGCTCGAGAACCAGGGTCAGGCAGAAGACTTTGTGATTTATTTATGGTTAAACCATCCAAAAAGGATTACCCTGATTATTATAAAATCATCTTAGAGCCAATGGATTTGAAAATAATTGAACATAACATTCGCAATGACAAATACACTGGGGAAGAGGGAATGATAGAAGACATGAAGCTGATGTTCCGGAATGCCAGGCATTACAACGAGGAGGGTTCCCAGGTAAGGACAAAAAGTCCTTCAGATATGTGGGGTATGCATATGTTTTAAATGCTGGTGGAATAAAGCTTGCTAAGAGGCCAGCCCTATAGAGGCTTAATTTAGGATATTTTTCTCCATAACTAGGTCAATACTTTGTTATTTCTTAGTTGTTTAAAATGGTAGGCAGTACACTATAGAAATTAAAAGCACATACTCCGTAGTGTGACATGCTAGATTTAAATCTGACTCTGCAAATTCCTGTGTCAGTAACTTATCCTTTCTTAATTAATTAAGAGACTCAGTTTCTTAATTTATGGATCAGGTGGTAGGATTTAAATAAGGAATTACAGAGAGAGCATTTAACAAGGTACCAAATAAGCACTCAGATGAGAGCCAGTAGCGTTAAAATCTTTCATCGTCACTATCCTCAGTTGTCATACTTCAAGGAAAGTCCATAAAATTGTATGATTATGTAAGAGTTGGCATGATATTCCTATAAATGCACTTCTAAATAATTGATTTTGGTATGAAGTATCTTAATATTTATAGTTCTTTATTAGTATATTAAGACATATTGATGTCTTTGATATTTTTCTATCTGGTATCCTCTGTATATTTTAGATTTCCAGAATAACATTTTCAAATCACTTCCTTTCTTCTGCTATTACATTTGAATGAAAGTAGGCACAGAGAGTGCTTGTGGAACAAAGAAATTGTTCTGTCGTTTGCACTGTCCTCAGTATCACTGGTTAATGGGCCAGTTGTCTGTCACTGTTAGAGAAAAGACCCTCCCTTTTAAGACAGGGGTCCAAGCAACATGGTGGACTAGGAAGGTAAACTACACAGACCCTCTTCAACAAAGATAAGGGAGACCAAATGAAACAAACACATGACAATCATGTAACCCTGAACTTCAGAGGAAAGGTTATAGAAATGGATTGAAAAGCTACTGGGAGGAAAAGCTGAGCAGGGACAGCAAAGAAGGAGACTGACTGGTGAGCCTCTACAGGCTGGACATGGCATGGTCATCTTGAACTTTTGCAAGCAGCTTTGGAGAGACATACAGATAGCAGCCTTACAATGTACATTCAGACAAGCATTGGACAAAGGGGATTCCTTCTTGCTTCACATATTTCTCTGGATAACAGATGTGAGACTGGCTGCTCACCCTTATTTCATCCACCCCCATTGCAGACCCTGTGCTCCAGAAGTTCTGAGTTACAAGGTTTGAGCCAGGTAAAGTGGTTGCCTGCTGCACTGCCTTGACACCTAGATTCAGGCAGACTCTGCTCTAGATCTACAGAAGAACCCACAGAAGCTCCAGGCCAGAATTAGACCATTAGCAGCCACCCTGCCCCCATCTGCCCTCTAGTTCTGACACATGCTGAAATGAGCAACCTGAAGGGCCTCCATGAGCTACTTCCAGATTGGATGTCCCAAACAAGTAACACATAGGCCTATAGGAATTCCATCTAGGGCTAAGAACTCAGCCATCACACCCCTTCTCCACCTGCCTCCAACTGTGCATATATAGCTCAGCCATTAGCATACTCACTGCAGCTCCACTAACTTGACAGAAGCCGATACCAGTTTTGTACCACCTGATGAACCATAGACATTAGCCCAAACCAGCCAAACCCACCCTAAACTCAGCTGCAAAAACAGCAAACAATAAAATGGTACACTAGCTTCCATTCTCTAATAACACCCACCAAGAGAAATCTGTTAAGAGCCTAAGAACACAGTAACATATAATCATCAATTAAATATAGATATAATGATACCACAATGTCTCAGAGCCAACAGAAGATGTTACCTCACATATGTCAGAAGAAATGAGAGTGGCTGAAACAAATGGCCAAGATGCAGAGTCAGAAAATGTCTTTGAGAAAGAAAAGTTAGTGGAACTACCTGAGAACGAATTCAAAAGAATATCTAAGTACCTTCAACGATTGACAGAAAGATCGAGGAAAGCAAGAACACAGATAACTTTAGAAGAATTTAGGGAAACACTACAAGACCAGACAAAATAAATGCAAATTTTGAAACAACACAGAACCCGCAAATAAAAATCTAGAAGATTAATCTTTATATTATGATCTGAGAAATGAACATTGAACATGCAAAGGAGTAGATTTGAATCGATGGAAGCCTGGTTAGTGACCTTGGAGATAAATCCCTCGATACTAGTAAGCTAGAAGAATAAACAGAGCAAAATGAAAAAAATTGGAAGATAGCCTGAGATTTATGTGAGACAACATGAAGAAGAATAACTTATGGGCAATTGGAATTCCAGAACAGGAAGACAATAAAAAGCATTGAGAAAATATTTGGAGAGCTACTGAAAGAAAACTTCTCTAACATCATGAAAACGAGAAGATACCATACAAGAAGCTGAATGAACCCCAAACAGGATATGCTCCAAAAGAAAATCACCAAGACTTACCATATTCATACTTCCTGAACGAATGACAAGGAAAACATGGAAAGCAGCTCAGGAAAAATGAAACACTATTTACATAATAGAACCAATAAGATGAAGCTCTTGATTTCTCAGTAGAAACCATGCCAGCAAGAAGGCAATGGGATGACATACACCAAACTAATTGCCAACCAAGAATTACATACCCATTAAAGCTGTCCATCAAATACAGTGATGAAATTAGGACATTTTCCGATAAGCACAGTTTAAAGGAATTTATAATAACCAGACCAATTTTACAAAAAAAATACTAAAGGATCTGACAACAACAGTCTGACCTGACGATTTAGTTTCCTCAGCTCCTGAGACTACATAGGTGAGACAATTTCTCCAGACTGATGCCTGAACTATGGAGTTACAATTTGCCATCCTCCACAATTTGTGAGACGTTGTAGAACCCTGGGACTTGAGGGAAGGGAGAAGTAGTTGAGAATCTTTTTCGAATTTTTCTTAGATGGTCAAACACTGAACATAATTCTTTCAGAGAAGGAATCCAAGCTGTCTACCAGCTCCAGTTCAGCATCACTTCCCAAAGTTAACATTTGGAGCAGAAGGTCTCATGTTTTTCTCATGGAGCAGCTGGAAGATTCAAACTGCTGACCATGTGAGGAGGATCCTGACAGCCATATTTTTACTGCACCACTTTATCCTAACATCATTCTCATTATAAAGAAAACAAAAATCCTCACCACTGGAACAGTAAGTAACATCATGATGAATGGAAAGAAGCTTGAAGTTGTCAAAGACTTCATTTTGCTTCAAACAGCCATCAACACTCATGGAAGTAGCAGTCAAGAAATCAACTGACATATTGCATTAAGCATATCTGTTGCACAAGACTTCTCCAAAGTGTTCAAGAGCAAAGACGTCAGTTTGAGGACTAAGGAGCACCTGACTGAAGCCTCATATGCATGTGAATGTTTGAACTATGAATAAGAAAGAGTACAAAAATCGATGCATTTGAGTTATGGTGTTGGAGAAGAATATTGAAAGTACCTTGGCCTGCCAGAAGAGCAAATAAATCTGTCTTGGAAAATGTAAAACCCCCATGCTCCTTAAAAGCCAGTATGGCAAGACTTTGTGCCTCATACGTATAATCAGGAGAAGGACATCATGCTTGGTAAAGTCGAGGGTTGGTGAAAAAGAGGAAGACCCCCAATGAGATGGATTGGTACAGTGGTAACAACAATAGGCTCAAGTGTAACAAAAACTAGGAGGATGGTGCAGGACTGGGCTGTGTTTGGTTCTGTTGTGTATAGGGTCGCTATGAGTCACAACTCACTTGAAGGCACCAAACAACAACAAACAGATGAGAAGTTATGGACTTGGATTATATGACCAGCGCTGGACCAATCACTGTGTCAAGTAAGGTGAGTATTCTGATTGACCTGCGTGGATCACATGCTTGCTTTTGCTGAGGAGGAGGAGGAGCCACACATTTGACAGCCTCACCAGAATCTCATGGAATGGAGGAGGAGCAGTTCCTGAAAGGAAAAGATATTATGTAATTCCAGCTCCTCTATATCACTGCAACTCATTCTGGTTCCACATTTAAAGGAAAAGTAAAATTTTTATCAGAATTTCCTCAGATGACAAAATGTATAGCAAATTGGCTTCAGAATATACTTTTCAGAGACTTAGCAAGTTTTAGCTACAGGGTCCCTATTAATCAAATATTCAAATTGTCTATTAGTCTCCCAGTCTCAAACTATTTTGTCCATAAAAACAAATGACTCTGTGCAAAGAAATGATACTCACATTTACATAACACTCTGCACATTCAAATCTACTACATTTGAAAAACACAATAAACTTAAGAGGTAGGCATAGTTTTACTTATAGGAGGGGGTTTCAAAAAGCTTTTGGAAAAATGGAATTAAATTACAATGGGATTTTTCAAGAATGTTTTGAAGCCCCTCATATATTATTATCCCCATTGTTCAGTTTTAGAAAAGTGGCAGAGCATTTAAGTAATCTACCTGAGGTCACATGATCAGTTACTGGAAGAGCGATTACCTGGATTCTGATCCACCTGTTGTCTTTATTCTACTGACCCAATTCTGATATATCTTTGAAAGCTGCAAGAGTACCCAGGCTTAAAATTGCACTTTCTCCTCAGACTCTCTGTACATTTATTTACTTTTTTGCTTAGAGAGTCTTGTTATATACTTTTGATCTCACAGGTACGCTTTTTCTTTTCCTGAAAGTGCATGGTTTTAGTCAGAAGAAATGTAAAGCACAAATGTGTGAATGTGTGAAGAAATCAATCTTTGCTCTTTCTTAGAAAAAGAGAAATAGGATGCTTTGCTATTCTCCTCTTTCAGTAAAAATGAAAAAATATGGGTTCTTCCTCCTTTAGAACTTTGGCAGGTGGTGGGGTGGGCGGGGGGAGAATACTAAAGCGTCTTCTTTGGACTTAGACTAGATAACGATCTGAGATTAACGTTCATGACACCACCCAGAACTCAGCACACATATATAGAAGTATCCAAAGTAAAACAAACTTATAAAACTGAAAATAAGAACCCAGAGAAATCAACTTACTATTAAATCAACTAGAAAACAGAAAGGATTAGTGTATATACAGAGCTTCCATATGGTAAGGAAGATAAGCAGATTTCAAGTAAAACAAGGTGCTTTAAATCGCGGAGGGGAGGGAATCCTAAATTACAGAATAACCTCAAAGAAAATGAATACACCTTCACATCAAAATAAGGGAAAATCAGAAAGATTTAGTAAACATTGAAAGAATAGCAATGAAGAAAATGTAAAGAAACCCACAAACAACATTAGTACAAAAATTTATGTGGAGCAAAGAAACTCAACACCACACACACACACAGAAAATAGCAAAATGACAGCAATCATTTCATACCTATCTGTAATTATAGTGAAAGTAAATGGATTAAATACAGCAGTCAAGAGACAGTAACAGAATGGATACAAACTTTGATAAATACAAACAAAGGAGTACTATGCAACATTGAAGAACAATCATAAATCTGCAAAACACCTCATAACATGGATGAACTTGGAGGACAACATGCTGAGTGAAATTATAATCAGTCACAAAATATTGCATGAAACCACTATTCTAAAAAGTTAAGAAAAGGTTTTCTTGCTAAAAGAAACGTGATTACTGGGGTTGGAGGAAAGGGAAAATTATTCACTGTGTACACTCATGCAAATGTGGATGATGGGGAAGGTAATATACAAGAGGGAGGTTGGTACAGAAAAGATGGAAGGTTGTGTAAGACACAGGGAGGAGTACAAGTATTAAAATGAATGGAGGTAAATATTGTTAACTGATGGCACAAGGGATGGCAATGGTTATAATGACTTGTATGGTTTATTGAATGTGAAACTAGTGGTCTGTTCTGTAAACCTTCACTCAATTCACAATAAAAAGTTTTAAAAGAGAGAGAGGTGGCCAAAGAAGAGAGGCTACTTAGTCTCTAATACTGTCTGTTGTGGTGAGTAGTCAGAAGGACAGAGCCTTTGCTAGGGAAGCCGGGAATGGCAACTCTGGGAGGAGGCCATTAGGGTGAGTAACCTTATTCTTGGGTACATATTCTCTCCCGTGTCTCAGTCTTCAGAGAGCGATGACCAAGAGGGGATTGGTGCCTTCTCTACAGATGAGACTTTATACTTTATACATCCTTACCCCAAAGTCAGCAGTCATAACCCACCAGCCTTTCAGCAGGAGAAAGATGTGGCAATCAGCTTGCATAACGATTTATGGTTAAATGCCATCGAGTTATTCCGACTCACAGTGACCAGGTATAGGGTTTCCAAGGAGCAGCTGGTGAGTTTGAACCACTAACCTTGGAAACCCTGTGTGGTGCACTTCTACTCTGTCTTACAGGTACAGTGTCAGAATCAGCTCGGAAACAGTGTATGGGTAGTAAACCGAAGTTTTGTTTTGGTAGTTTTAGTTCCTAAGTGGGTTTTAAAGCTTAATGAATATAAACTACACTTTAATAAAAAAAATCTTTTAAAAAATAACTTTTAAGTCTATTTATGGAACATTAGGTATACAACGATGCACACATCCTGGAGAAGTTGCTCAAGGATAAAAGGAAAGAGCTGGGCCCTCTGCCTGACGAGGATGACATGGCTTCTCCAAAACTCAAACTGAGTAAGGCACTTGAGCCCTTTGTGACTCAGCTTATTGATTTCTTGAAATACTATTTCATTAATTGATGAATATACTTGTATTCACTAGCACTGCAGCATGGAGTTTCTTCCCTCCTCCTAAGTACTCTCTTTTATTGCATTTTAAGTAATAAAACTGAGAGATAGAATATGACTATTAAAGGTTTTGTTTATTGAATGCTACAGATATTTTATGATGTCTATGAACATAATGATGAGCATAAATATTCAATTTTAAGACTATGCATTTTTTTCTTTATGTGATACCTAAAAGAGTCTGAGAGAGTGGCAGATGTAATTTCTTTTTTTGCATTTTTTTTGTTTTTTTTCTTTGGGCCTGTTTGTACATTTGATAATTACCAGAATTAAAATGGAATTCCAGCAGCTCCTGCTAGTGCTCAACTGAGCGCTTACAGTTGTCTAGCCACTGTACTGTCACTTTAACTGAGCTGTCCTGTGAGTGTGCTCTGTAGGAAGTAGCTTTATTAAAAGCTGTAAGGAAAGCAAATACGGCAAAAGTAGGCTAAACACAGGATTCCTACCTTACTTAACATATGTAAGTAAAATGAATACCAAGCAAGTGATAGTAATATCAGATATTCTCTAGAGCTTTATTTACTAAAAGTGGGGAGAAGAAATAGGCCCTGCATTTTTATATTAAATGACTGTAAACTGAATTGTACAATAGCTTTGATATGATATACTGCTGAATGGTGATAACTTAATAATGTAATAATCATGGAATGGTTAAAAAATGCTTGCTGAAACTTGTAATTTCACAAAGATCAAATGGCAGAAGTGCAGAGTTTTTCATATTCTACTTTGTAGGGACATAATATCTTTCTTTCTAAACTAAACTGAATTTCATAAGTTGAGTTAGGAGACTATTTAACAATATGAAAATGTATATTTTCCAATAAATAAATATATACACTTTATTTGAATGGTGATTTTAATATAGAATTTCATCATTATTTCTCATGTTTTTATTATGGAAAACTGAAAACACATACAAATGTAAGAAACAGTACAGTGAGCACTGTATTGCCAGTATACTTATCTTCCAAGTTTAACATTTATCAAGGTTGTGCCCTCCTTATATCCTACTGTTAGGTGCCATGAGTCAGTTCTGACTCATAGCATCCCTGTGTACAACAGAATGAAACACTTTTGGTTCTCCTTCCTCCTCACAGTTACTACATTTGAGCCCATTGCTGCTTACTACATCCCCTTATAGTTTATTTGTTGATTAGCTTGTGTTTATACTATAGTTTCCCTGCTTGGCTTTTACTTATTGTACCTATAGTTTAATATATTCCTTTCTTCTTTATTTTTCTCCAGTAAATTAGTGATTGAAGCCAAAAGCTTGATCAGATTCATGTTTGATCCTCTGTCATAGGTTGTGTATGCTTTTCCATCAGGGGGCACATGATGGCTGTTATTTTTTTCTAATATGTTAACAAATGCTGATGCTCACTTCATTAATTCATTAAAAGTGTACAGAAAAGTGATAGTTTCATTTATCAATCCTTGTTTATTTATTATCTATAGTACTTCCATATAAAGAAACTTCAGTTATCTACTATTAGAAGGTTTCTGTTTTATTTTTTTAAAGGAGGATAAAAGCTTAATTTTTTTGTTTGTTTGCTTGTTTTCCCCTTCACTTACTAATTTTTAAATTAATGCATTGGATTACTAACAATCCTTCAAAACTTACCTAGTTTGGTTTGCTTTATGTATCATTCACAGTTCCTAGATTTAGACATCTTGCTCAATTTAAACCAGTATAGTTACTATCCTTCTTGATGCTCATGTTGTCTCAGGCTGGTTCCTATGTTCTTTTGTCTTGACTATGATAGAAAGTTATTGGTATTCTTTACTGTCTGGTGTTTCAAAATATACCAGGCTCATCTTGCACAAACAGGCAATCAGTGTTTGCAAGGAGCCCTGAGATTTTAGTGAAAATTAGTATTTCAAAATTATAAACTTGGTACCCAGGTATTGAGTTGGTCACTGTTTCTTGGCATTCTCAGTAGACTAAGCTAGGAAATATTTGTGTGGGTGTATGTGCATGTATTTGCATAGAAAGCAAAAATACACCATCAATTCATGCAGTTATTTTCTTTAAAGTTAAGGTTCAGTATTTTTACTTGTTTTTTTCTGCTTTATAGCTCTCTGTATTTCTGTTTTTCACCATGAAGAAAAGTTATTCTTAAGTATGCCAGCAGTGACAGAATGTCATACTCATTAGCTTTATTCTACCTTATTCAGAACTGTCTCAACATAACAGTATTTAGTCTTTTACTAAATTTTATTGAAAATTAATTTTCTTTTCACTTCTTTTTTGTGTTTAGGACATGTCCTTTTACTGGACTTATGATAATTGTTATGTTTTACAAATCACATGAACTAGTCCCTTTCTTACGTTATGCCACCAAACTCTATACAAATTTTGATTCATTTGTTTAATTTTGTGCATTAACATTAAAATCTCTTTTTTTTAGGTAGGAAGAGTGGCATTTCTCCTAAAAAATCAAAATACATGACTCCAATGCAACAGAAACTAAATGAAGTCTATGAAGCTGTTAAAAATTATACTGATAAGAGGGGCCGCCGCCTCAGTGCCATATTTCTGAGGCTACCCTCCAGATCTGAGCTGCCTGACTACTATCTGACCATCAAAAAGCCCATGGACATGGAAAAAATTCGAAGCCACATGATGGCCAACAAGTACCAAGACATAGACTCCATGGTTGAAGACTTTGTCATGATGTTTAACAATGCTTGTACATACAATGAGCCTGAGTCCTTGATCTACAAAGATGCCCTTGTTCTCCATAAAGTCTTGCTTGAAACTCGCAGAGACCTGGAGGGAGATGAGGACTCTCATGTCCCAAATGTGACCTTACTGATTCAGGAACTTATCCACAATCTTTTTGTGTCTGTAATGAGTCATCAGGATGATGAGGGAAGGTGTTACAGTGACTCTTTAGCAGAAATACCTGCTGTGGATCCCAGCTTGCCAAACAAACCTCCCCTTACTTTTGACATAATTAGGAAGAATGTTGAAAATAATCGCTACCGGCGGCTTGACTTATTTCAAGAGCATATGTTTGAAGTACTGGAAAGGGCAAGAAGAATGAATCGGTATGTTTTCAAAGCCATTTCTTTTTGAGAAGATGTGATAATACAAGACCTAAGCTTAGGAAGAAATAAATCCATATGTAAGACAGTATTTAATATGCTGGTACTTTAGTAAAGATGTTATCATAAGTAATGGGACTCTGACCGATAGTTTTCCTAAAAAGACAAAGTTATTGGGCAAGAATAGTGTGATGGGTAGGATTCTGATGAGCAGTAGGGAAGATATTTTAGGTAAACTGAGTGGTTCTTAGGGGGTTTCGGAAAATTCCTGGAAAGTTCCATTATCTTTTAATCCCATTTTTTTCACAAACTTTTTAAAGCACCCTTAAATGTGCAAAAGCATAGGTTTAGAGAAAAATATGGTCTTTTAAGAGACATGTTGGGCCACATTTAGAAAATACATCCTTATTCGTAGACAGTGGGGGTAGAAAGAAATAAAGAAGAAAATGGAGGGACATTTTGTATTCAAAATCTACTGGAGTTGTTCCTTTATTCAACAAATGTTTGCTGAGTAACTTCTAGTTAATATTCTTGGTGCTTGGGATGCACCCGTAAACAAAACATACAGAAATCGTGCATTCACTTAGCTTACATGTCTGTGTTTGTCCTCAGTCTGCATAAATAATCGTTTTAAGTCTGAAGCCACTTCCCCATCCCTCATTCCATCTTGTGGTTAGTTCAGTAATTCTTCCAAAAAGCATTTGTTTCTTAAATTATTACTACATTTGTCTTGTATAGATGACATATTGATTCTAAGAATTAAGCAGATTTGTGTCATAAGAAATTAGTGTTTTTTTCTTTTTCCCATCATTGGCATGATTGATTTTTGCTTTTGAGGCCTGGGAGAGTGGGATCTATTGATGCACAATAGAAGAGATGTCTTTCTTACCTTTGCAAACAAAGGTGGTAGTGTATCTGCTTGCAGTATTTAATAAGAACTAACCTCATGCTGGAGTCCTAGTATGACACGGTAGGATAAACCCTGAACTGCTGACCACAAAGTTGGTGGTTCAAACTCACCAGCTGCTCCTTGGAAACCCTATGTAGGATTGCTATGAGTCAGAACCAACCCGATGGCACTTAACAACACCACACTATGATTTTATCCACTATATTATTAGTATTACTATGAAGATAGGCATCCTAAAAATATTAAGCTCATGAATTCAATGCTTAAACTTCTCATTTTATAAATAAGGAAAACCCACTACTATTGAGTGTGTCTTAGAGTGACTCTGTAAATCTTTACAGAAGCAGGGAGCTGTGGCTGTGGATTTTCACCACTTACCTATGGTTAGCAATCCAGTACTAACCTCACATGAGGAAAGTGGCTCAGAAATATTCTGAGTGTGACATACGTAATTTTCCCCCATTTTTCAATATATTGCCTATGTTAGCTCCCGAGAGTTGTATAGTTATTTCTGGAGAACTAAAGTGAACACAGACTCCAAGGCCTATAACCATTTTAGGATGTCCTCATAGCTTTTCAGTTTAGGTTCAAATAGTCACTAAGCCCTACCAGTCCTGGCAACCATGATGCAGGCCCAAAAGAGAAGAAAATGGGCATTGCCAAAATCTTTTGTTAACACTTTATTCATTTTATTGGTCCCCACTAAAAGTAGAAAAGAATCCAAAGATTAAATGCACTAAATGCTTGCTATGGTGTGGAGCCCTGTTCTTGACTCTGGCAGACACATTCTTTTGCTAGAATCTGCTGATGCGTGTACCATGTACCTCCACAGGAAAGCATGAGGCGTTTCCTTTTACATGGTCTACACAGAGTGAGCCTTAAGGAAATTTGTGGTCATGAACAGGCTCATTATAATCAAATGACAATTCAGATTCGATTTTATTAAATATCAAGAAGCTACTTTTCTTAGAATTGAAGTACCACTGTATTAACTAGCATATGAAAGAAATATTTAGCAGGATTTAGTGTACGATTGTGTATGAAATAGTTTGTGTGTCATGGATGCTTTTGATGCCATTATAGGACAGATTCCGAAATATATGAGGATGCAGTAGAACTTCAGCAGTTTTTTATTAAAATCCGTGATGAACTCTGTAAAAACGGAGAGATCCTCCTTTCACCAGCTCTCAGCTATACTACAAAACACTTGCATAATGATGTGGAGAAAGAGAAAAAGGAAAAATTACCTAAAGAAATAGAAGAAGATAAACTAAAACGAGAAGAAGAAAAAAGAGGTTGGTTTCTTTTCATTTTATTAAATATGTAGAAATATTACACTTCATGCTAGGTGATATAATAATTAACTATGGAGGAGAGTTCTATTTATGTAAATATGACTCATGCTTTTGCCTTTCAAATAGGCATGGTAGAATGGAAATATTTTTATCATTATCACTTTTAGTTACCAGGCTGAAAAAGATTGGAAGTTGCTGGTATTCTGTTATTGTTGCTGTTCATCATGTTGTTAGGTGCCATTGAGTAGGTTCTGACTCATGGTGACCCCGTGTACAACAGAACAAATCACTGCTGAGACTGGTGTCATCCTCACAAATGATATGTTTAAACTCATTGTTGCAGCCACTGTGTCATTTCATCTCATTGAGGGTCTTCTTTTTCTCTAGTCCCTCTGCTTTACCAAGCATCATGTCCTTCTCCCAGGACTGGTCCCTCCTATAACATGTTCAAAGTACGTGAGGTGAAGTCTCACCAGTCTAGCTTCTGAGGAGCATTCTGGTTGTACTTCTTTCGAGACAGATTTGCTTGTCCTAGTATCCAAGAAAAGAGTCAATTCCCAAGTGTGGGAGCTTAATACCTCTTAACACTGTTGGAAGATAAAAGCCTACGAAACCATCTGGAGCTACGAGATGGTGAATGCGTCAGGTTTCTGCCACATCATTCAGTAGCATGATTTTCCTCACGCATACTCTGAACCAAATAAGTAGATGTTATTTTGAATGAATTATATTCATAAAAGGAAAATTTAATTTTAGTCATGTCAACCTAAAAGTGTTACTTTTTTAGTCATTCAGAATTTAGAAATATTTTGACAGTGGGTACTTTTATAATAAATCTAATCATTCTGATAAAGCACGTATTCTCATGATACCTTGAATATTTGGTTTTCAAAGAGTTATATTAGTATGTGATGGTGGTGGTGATGTGCCCTAGAGTCAGTTACGACCCTGTACAGAGTTTCCGAGGCTGTAAATCTTTACGGGAGCAGAAAACCTCATCTTTCTCCCACGGAATATAACATCAAAATTCCTCCTTAGTAGGCAAAAAAACAAAATAATTGATTTGAAGTAAACTATCATAAGGAGTGACATCTCCAAAAAAAAAAAGAAGAGAAGGGAACTTGGTTGGTGAAAATAGTCATTTTACCAGCCTAGAACTAGCTGCAAAACCCAACAGCTTTGCTATCAGTGGGATGCATTCTTCTGGGATGATGCATTGTATGTGTGTGCAGGGATATCAGTATCATTGCTAGCTTTACTAGCCCATGCTGATGGTGAGAGTTGGGAAACAACTTGAAATGAGAGATCCAAACCAAATCCAAAACAAAATTTGTTAGTGTCAAGTCAGTTCCAACTCACAGTTACCCTATAGTCTAAACTAGATCTGCCCCATAGGGTTTCCAAAACTGTAAGTCTTTATTGAAGCAGACCACTCCATCTTTCGCCAAGTGCTTACCCATTGCATCACCCGGGATCCTTGAGAAAGCCATCAGGCTGAAATTAGCTCTTCACACCTTTTTGCCTTATTGGAAAGCTACACAGATACAGGGAAGATGTGAAAAGCTCACAAAAACAAAATTCCAAGTGTGCTTGCAAACTAACTGCAACTTACAATGCATTCCCTAATTCCCATACAAATTGATCTGCAGAGGGTGAAGTCTTCCAGGTTTAAGTTGTTTGAGCACAACCTTTGCCTAAATCTTTGGCTGACTCCTTGCTTACAGACCTAGGGACAACCCCTAGTGTCAAGGGTCCTAGTTTACCTTTAGTGGGTGTTCCAGAAGGAGAAAAGAGGCAGAAAAGGGGTGAAGGAGGTGAAGATATAGTGGCTGAAAATTTCTCAAATTTGTTGAAAAACATTAACCTATATTTCTAAGAACCCAACGTAAGTTGGACACGAAAAGAACCACATCTAGATACATCATGAACTGCTAAAAGCAGAGAAAGCAAATCATGGCAGTTACAAAATAACTCTTCATATAAAAGAAATAATGATTAGTAGCTGAATTCTCATAAAAAATAATGATGATCAGAGCACATTCAAATTGTTGAAAGAGAAAAAACTAAGCCACGAGTTGAATATCTAACAATACTGTTCTTCAAATATGAAGTTGAAAGAAAGACATTCCCACATTCACAGAGAGAGCTAACCTCTCTGTCTTGAATTTAATAGCAGATCCCCTTGTTAAGTACCGTGGAGTAGGTTCCTACTCATAATGACCCTACACAGGGTTTCTGAGGCTACAAATCTTTACAGGAGAAGAAAGTCTTATGTTTCTCCCACGGAACAGTTGGTACTTTCGAACTGCCGATCTTGAGGTTAGCAGCCTGATTCGTAACCACTACGCTACCAGAGCTCCTTGTAGATCCCCTTAGAAGCCTCTCAATAATGATAATTTTATGGAACAGATCGTAACTAGGGGTAAGTCTTGGATTTACCAATTCAAACCAGAAAGCAAGGACCAATCAAAATAGGAGATCTAATAGGGTCTTCTAATAGATCCCCTTAGGGACTCCTATTTTGATTGGACTTTGCTTTCTAATTTATATTGGTAAATCTGAGACTTACCCCTAATTACAATCCATTCCATATAATTATCATTGCTGAGGTCAAGATGTTCACTTAAAATTGAAAATGCCACCCAGGTGAGATCCCAACTTCAGTTTCTTCAGTGATAATTCTAGGACTAGAGACCAAGGCAATTTCATAATGCAAAAAGGGTTAAGATATAAAGAAGGCACATAAATGTGTATGTACTGAATAACAAAATCCCAAAATATATAAAACAAAAATTGAGATAATTGAGAGGAGAAATGGACAATTTAACATTTATAATGCAATACTTCTTAGTAACTGATTGCTGTTTAGTGCCATAAGTCTGGTGACTGTAGTTTTTCTTTATATATCTTTTGCATAATTGTTGGGGATGTTGTGTTAAAGTGTTGATTTTGGTTCTTTTTTCTTTTTGGATGTGTGTGTTTTTGCTACAAATTGCTCTTTAAGCACTGCTTTTGCTTTGTCCCAAAGGTTTTATGTTGTGTTTTCTTTTTTTTTTTTAATGTGTTTTCATTTGATTAAAAGAATGTTTTCATTTCATTTTTGTTGTTATATTACCCAGTAGGTTTTAAGCAGGGATTACTCAGTTTTCATCTATTTGATTTTATTCCCCTTTATCTTCCATTGCTAATTTCTAATTTTATAGTATTGTGTTCTGAAAATATGCTTCATAGTATTTTGATGTTTTTAAACTTATTGAGACTTGCTTTGTGTGGCTTAACATATGATCTATTTTGGAGAGTGTTCCATGTCCCCTGGAAAAGAATGTATATTTTGCTGCTGTTGAGTTGTGTGCTCTATATCAATCTATGAAATCGAGTTGGTTGATTGTATTGTTTTGTTTTTCTTTGTCTTCGTTAAGTTTCCTTCTAGCTTGTCAGTCCTTAATCAACAATGGTACATTAAAATTTCTTTGTATTGTATAGTTGTCTATTTCTTTCTTCAGTTCTGTTTGAGTTTGTTTTATATTTTTTTATGAGCATAGATATTTATTGTGGTTATGCCCTGTTGTTCAGTTGTTCCTTTTATTATGAGATACTGTCCATTGTCTCTTATACTGGGTTTTGCCTAAAGTCTTTTTTATCAGAAATTAATTTTGCCACTCCTTCTCACTTTTGATTGCTGTTAGCTTCATAAGTTTTTTCCATCCTTTCATTTTCAGTCTGTTTTTGTCTTTGAATGTAAGATGTGTCTCTCATAGACAGCATATTGAAGGATCTGTTTTCTTATCCATTCTGCCACTCTCTGTTTCTCGACTAGTGCGTTTAATCTGATGCATTTAATTTACTATCAATAAGTATAAATTGATTAGTTACTTGCTATATCACAGGTTTTTGTAGAGCAGCTGGTTTCTTTGTTCCACCTAATTTTCTGTGCTGAGTTCATTTTGTTTTTGCCTTTTCCTTTTAGTTTCTTCATTGCTGTTGTGTTAATGTTTATAAAATCTTTAAGGATGTCCCTTTTCTTGATTTTATGCAAAGGTGTATTAATTTTCTTTGAAGTTACTGAGTAATTTATTAATTTTTCCCCAGTTTAAAATGGTCTTAGCTTGAAATCTACTTAACTTCCTCACTGTTTGAAAGTTCTGTAACTATATTTACCCCTTTTTACTTTGCATTTTTCTTCATTATAAATTGATATCTCTTGATTCCCATTTTCAGTCTTGTAGGTTTGTTTTACTTTGGATACTTCTGTACCTGTATTGAAATCTGGGTGTTGTAAATGTGTATACCAATCCCAAGTTGTCATTTGCTGTTGTTGATTCTTAGTCCAGAGAAACATTTAAAAAAAGAAGAAGAAAAATGAAAGTGGAGATAGAAAGCAAGGGAGACAATCTGTCTAGGCGGACCTGATGAAATGAATTGCGGATAGATCTCTCGTGATACAATAGTGAATAATTGTTATCAGGACTGATGAAGAGGGTTGGAAATGTAAAGGTAGATGTTTTGTAGCAAGGAAGGGAGTGATTATCTTTTCAGTGTAGGAGTGGAGGTCCCTGGGACCATCAAGGGAGAAGAACGGAGAGCTGGATCCTACCCAGAGAAGCAGTGATGCCTGAGATGGAGGCAGAGACAATGACATGGAGAGGTGGAGCAGCTGGGGACTTTAGACCCAGAGAGGGAGAGGGAATGTGTGCTGACGACAATAGGATGAATGTAAAGCTAATGTTCTCCCATGTAAACTATCACATAATTCACAATAAAGCATTAAAAAATAAAAGAATAAAGAACAACAACAATAAAAGGAACAAACCAGGAGAGGTGCCAGACCCAGAAAGGAGAAAATTCTGAGGTCTCTTGCTGCCCAAGGATCTCATATCATGGTGGGCAAGGGATGAGACAGTAACACTGTCAACCATAGATGGGGTTCCTGTATGGCTAGGTGTTGTCTGTTCTGGATACCCAATGTGGAAGTAGTTCATACAAACCCCAAAGCAGCTGGG